ACAAAGGAAAGCATAAAATGAAAAGACAACCTACAGAGTAGGAGAAAATATTTTCAAATGATGAGACCAGCAAGGGCTTACTTTCCAAAATAAGAAAATAGCTAATACAACCTCAGTAACAACAAAAAAATCCAAAACTGGGAAGAAGATTTAAATAGACATTTCTCTATAATGGTCATATAGATGGTCAAGAGGCACATGAAAAGATGCTTAACATCACTAATTATTAGAGAAATGCAAATCAAAACTACCATAAGGTAGCACTTCCCACCAGTCAGGATGGCCATCATTAAAATGTCTACAAGTAACAAATACTGAAGGAGGTATGGAGTAAAAGGAACCCTCTTACACTGTTGGTGGGAATTTAAGTTGGCGCAACCACTTTGAAAAACAGTATGGAGTTTCCTCAGAAAACTAAGACTTACCATGTATGGTCCAGCAATCTCACTCCTGGGCATATATCCAGACAAAACTATAATTCAAAGAGATATATGCACCCCAGTGTTCCTAGCAGCACTATTCACAATCTCCAAGTCATGGAAACAACCTAAATGTCCATCAAAATAAGAGTGGATAAAGAAGGCATGGTATACATATATATACAATAAAATACTACTCAGCCATAAACAAAAATAAAATAATACCATTTTCAGCAACATGGATGGACTTAGCACTTATCATACTAAGTGAAGTCAGAAAGACAAATACCATATGATATCACTTATATGTGGCATCTAAAATATGACACAAATGAAGCTATCCATGAAACAGAAACAGAATCACAGACATAGAGAATAGATTGGTGATTTTGAAGGGAGGAGAGGGTTGGGGGAGGGATAGAGTGGGAGGTTGGGGTTAGCTGATGTAAGCTTTTGGGCATAAAATGGATAAACATGTTCTACTGTATATAGCACAGAGAACAATACTCTGTATCTTAAGATAACCATAATGGAAAAGAGTATTTAAAAAATGTGTGTGTGTCTATATTATACATACATACATATATACATACATATATATATATATTACTTTGCTATACTGCAGAAATTAACACAACATTGTAAATCAACTATACATCAATTTTTTTAAATAAAGTCTTCCATAGAACCCTCTTTATTAATTCTGCTGATAATACTGGTAATTTACTCTGGAAGTACACACACAGTAGAAATACCAGCGGAGTACAAGGTGGTTTCCAGAATTTTCTTTTCTCTGTAATTTTCACTCAGAATTCTATGTAGAATTTAGGCAAGCAATCCTATCTGCTTTTCTGTCTCAATTTTAAGATTCAGATCATGGCCTCAGTCCCCTAAGACTTTTATGCCTTATCCCAGCACATATATATCATGGAAAAAACAGGGGCAAATCAGGGCATGATGAGTACAAAGTCTCACCTCTTCTCTCTCTCTCTCTTCCAACCAATGAAACAGGAGTTCCTGACAATAAAAAGTGATCAAGGCAGCTACATTTCTTCTGTATCCTCCTCCTCTGGTCTAACCAAGAGGCATTAGCCTTGTTTTATAACACAAGATCCATGATGCCACTGACCTACTTCACCCTTATCCATAAGCTGTGCATCCTCCAACTGGGAGATTGGGATGAGCTATGAAACCAACCTTTGCAGTAATAGATATTCTGCTGCTGCTGCTGCTAAGTCGCTTCAGTTGTGTCCGACTCTGTGCGACCCCATAGACGGCAGCCCACCAGGCTCCCCCATCCCTGGGATTCTCCAGGCAAGATCACTGGAGTGGGTTGCCATTTCCTTCTCCAGTAGACATTCAGTGACTACCAAATGGCTTCAAACAAGAAATAGAGAACAGAATTGGCTTTGGGCACTCCTGGGTGCCATATAGAAAGGAAAAGCAGAAACTAAATAAAGAAGTGCAGAGACTTGAAGTCATTTGGGCTAATGCCCAAAGTGGAGGTCACATATTGGACTGAGATAAGGGACACCCTTGAGTAGTTCCTTGGAAAGGAGGATAAACTGAAAATACCCATTATTGTAGGAAGAAGTGAAATAATTACATACCCATGCTCCATCAGGCCCAAACAGTTCTAAGAAGTTGCCAATGAATTCCTTCAATTTCTCTTCCCACTTCTGAATTAGATCATGACTCTTTTCTTCCACTCTGCTAACAAATTCCTTTGATCTTTCTTCCACATTTTTGACATTTTCCTTCATCTTGTCTACCTGGTTTTGGAAGCAATACTTCTTCTCCTGGTCAAAAATTAAAGGAGAAAGAAAGAGATTTACCCAAATGCACTTGGGAGAGATTACTCATTCACAGAATGGTCAGATTTTATTTCAACTTGTGCATGTTCTTAACCTGAAGAGTCAGGATGCTAGTTTCCAAGGGCTGGATTGACAGGAAGGCCCATCTCTTATAAGAAAAGTCACTTCTGATTAGTCTATTTGAATGGGTAGAGTGAGTACAAGTAGTTGTAATGTTCTCTTCCTTATAAATAAAGTTGAATTCACTTATATAAGAGAAGAACCAAAAGTATCCATTTGCTGTTTATTTTGGATAGTTACTAGGCAAATGCATCCCCTCAGTTCTCGTGACACTTAATATGACACAAAAATATGAATTGTACATAGAATGGCCACTTTGAAGCAGCCTGAGTTCTCTATTTTACTGAGACACTGTTAAAACTAATATTGGTTGAAATAAGTGAGCCACTGGCTGGGACTTAGCATCCATGTATTACACTAAAATTGTCACTGTCATGATATTTCCCATTAATCTAATGGAACCACATCAGTTTCCTTGGTAATGAAGAAAATTTTTGTTCTGATAGCTTCTCTGGACTAGGATTTTGTTCATAGCCTTGATGCAGCATTGCTATACCTATGTGCCTAGAAGGCATCAGATGTTGGGCAACTCACCTGCCATCTCTAAACCTCAGTTTTCTCATCTGTAAAATAGGGATAATTATTGTCCCTACCCTATAGGGTTGCTGTAACAATTAGATCAGATAATGCATGCAAAGTACTTGGCACACTGCCTGGCATTTAGTAAAAGCTAGTGTGTGTTGGCTATTAGATTACGTGTAAGCAACAGAAGCATTTAATCATGTTACCTGGTGAAAGTGGAATCAAAACCATGAAGATAACATGAAACGAAGGCTCTTTTCCTCCATGAAACCATAATACATTTCCTCCCGAAGGGGTAATAAGATTTCTCACCTTTCTTCACTATATGGAATTGAAGTCCATTTCATATTTCAGAATTTTTGGAGCCACATACAGTATTACAAAACTGGGTCGGGAGTCCCTGATCTAGACTTCACAAACATTGCTGCAGCCGCAGGCTGAGGTGTGAGCCATCGCGCTGGCGGCCAGCGGTATATAATACACGGTGACTCTCCACTGCTCTCAGGAGCTGCCTGAAACACTAGACTGGGCTCTGGACCAGGAGTCACAAGGCTGGGAGGCTGCTACTGCTTCTGCCTCTACTTTGCCTGAGGGACTGGAGCCAGGTCCCTCCGAACTCAACTTTCCTCATTTTTCTATTGACAAATTCAAGGACTTGGACTAGTGACTGACCCTCATCAGGTTCCTGCTACCCGAGGTTCCGTGATTCATCTACACACTCATCCAACACACGTGATGTACTCTGCACCATAGCTCAGCTTGTGGTCACAGAAAGGCAACGGGCACATCCACACTGACTACACGGTTCCCTGAGCTAAGTGGCTTATCTACAGGCCGTTGAAAGAGCGTGAGCAATAACTTTTAGAAATGGCTCGACATGCCTGGATGGTGACTGAATTCAATTTAAAAGAACAGGCAGTTTAATTTATTGAAATAACCAGGGCTTTATGCTTTATAAGATACCAACTAATCACTTTGACTGAATTCTTTTCAGCCACTTGTTCTGTTGGCCACTTGAACCTGACATTTTCCATTTTGTTGCCCAGTCTGTACGAAGCCATACAGCCTGGACTCAAAACACTCCTCCTGAGGACAACTGATCATCACTAACACGATTACTGAATGAACCCTGCCTTATTCAGAAGCCAATGATCAGTTTGTGTAAGTTTCTGGATAACTGTGGCTTCATATAATTAAAAACATCTAGTTTTGTAGAAAAAAATTGCCATATCTATTTGGAGGCAGGTGGTTTAGTCACTAAGTCGTGTCCAACTCTAGCGACCCCATGGACTGTAGCCTGCCAGGCTCCTCTGTGCATGGGATTCTCCAGGCAAGAATACTGGAGTCACTTGCCATTTCCTTCTCCAGAGGATCTTCCTGCCCCAGGGATCAAACCCTGGTCTCTTGCATTGCAGGCAGATTCTTTACTGACTTAGCTATGAAGAAAGCCCAGGTGGTGGAAATCCTGTATGTGTGGAGAGCTCTTATTTCGTTCACCTCGAACAGCTCCTTGGACTGCAGGTAAACATAGTCATCCAGACTCTCCAACATCACCTCTAGCAACTGGGCTGCCCTCTTTGCTTTTTAACAGCTTGTTTTAAAGATTGTTTTAATGGGTGCTCTATTATTAAACTAACAGCAGCTCTGTGGGAACAATACAGCAGAAATACAAAAGGAAGCCAAAGACTTTGGGCTTTTTTTAAGTGGCTGTAATTTCTCTGGACAAAAAAAAGCAGCTGTTAAAGTTTCTAATGAGCATCTGTAAGGCCTTAATAAAATGAAAATTGTAAACCGTTAAAATAAGAACACATTTTCTCTGAGTTTAGCTTTGTAGAGCCTCTGTGATCCTTCCTTCCCTTGGAGCAGAAGACAACTCTTGCCTTTCATGAGGGCAGATCTCTCAGAAACCCTTCACCCAAGTCTGAGAACTCTAATGGGGAAGGTTAGGGTGCAGAGAGGGAGGTGAGGCAGCTCCTTCAAAAAAACGTGATGTTCACTCACTACCTGTATGCCTTGGTCAAATTATGTTACCCATTTAGACACTGGTTTCTCCATCTATAAAATGGAGATAATAATACATCATTGGGCTGTTATGTGGACTGAACGAGACAATAAATGTCAAACATCAAGAACATCGAGTGGTGTAAAGTAAGTGATCTGTAAACAGTGCCAGCAGTAGCGTGACGCGCTGGTCCTCAGGGGTGTGGGGTGGCACGCTTACATTGATAAAGCTGACATTCAGTTCCTTTGCTGTGTACCCTCTCTGGAGGTTGCGTCGGGCATAAACATCATAGTCACGGACAATCCTGGTGATGATGTCTGACGTTGAGATGCCTTCTGTTCTCTGTGTTGGAACAAACATCCCTGTTCGAACAGAAAAGACAGGATGAAGAAAAAACAACTAAGATGATCCCAGGTGGCCCATTTTCTTGAATGACTCTCCTGTCCAGGACAAAGTGGCAGCTCCTAGGTCAGGGTGGCTTTCACATCTGGCCCCAGCCGACTCTGCAGGCTCAATTCCAGGCACTCCCTGCCTGCCACAGACACTGCGTGTTTGTCATGCTGGACCTGTTCCCTGGATGCACCAGGCACTCACCTGGATCTCGGCATTTGCTCATTTCAAGCCCTTCTTTCCTGCCCCGGACCCCCCTTCCCTGCCCCCAGAAGCTGCAGAGTAGCTCCTCATCGTGCAGGGTCCAGTCTTAAGGCTATGCCTCTGGGAAGTCTTTCCTGACGTCACCAGGCAGAATCCACAGCCATTAAAATATAAATTTGACTGCCATTAACAAAAGCATTTTCGGTATCCATTTCCTTGTGAAAAAGGAGCACTCTGAAAGCCTTGATCATCTTTATGTGTCCAGCACCCAGTTCAGTGCCCCAGTGTCTAACACATGGAAAGTTCTCCATATATGCAAACTAAATGAGTAAGTGAATGGAGCATAGCAATTGAGTCAAAGAATTTGTGAGATCACAGCAACTCCCCTTCTTCTCCAGGGAGTTCTGCATCACGTTATAGCAAAGGAAAAGAAGAAGGGTGCAGTATTTTTATTGTCTCTGGTCTAAAGACATGCCCAGGGGTTGCTCAATGATTTTACCCTTCTAAGAGCAATCTACTCTCAATGGTGGTTTCACCACACAAAGGCCTTTTCCTCTATACACTACTGGGACTGAGAAGAAAGAAACAAACACAGAGGATGCCAAGTTCTCACAGAACTTCCTTAAAGTCCTCAAAGATATATTTGAGTGTACCAATACAAGGCTGTAAAGAAGTCACAAGTGTTATCAAAGACAAGAATCTGGTGAAATTGAAGATGACATAAACAGATGAAAGATATACCTCTTTTTGAATAGGAAGAACCAATACTGTCAAAATGCTTATACTACCTGACACACTCTACAGGTTCAGTACAATCCCTATCAAAGTACAAATGGCATTTTTCATACAACTACAACAAAAAAATTTTAAATTTAGATGGAGACACAAAAGACTCCAAATTCTCAAAGCAATCTTGAAAAAGAAAAACGGAGCTGGAAGAATCAAACTTCCGGACTTCAGACTATACTAGAAAGCTACAGTCATCGAAACAGGATAGTTCTATCACAAAAGCAGACATATAGATTAATGGAACAGGATAGAAAACTCAGAAATTAACCCACACACCTATGGCCAATTACTCTATCACAAAGGGGGCAGACTGTACAATGGGAAAAGACATTCTTGTCAATAAACGGTGCTGGGAAAACTTGACACCTACATGTAAAAAAAATGAAATTAGAACATTCTTTAACACTGTGCAGAGATATAAACTCAAAATAAATTAAAATTCCACATCCTGCAGAGCATCTAAGCCTGTGAGCCACAACTACTGAGCCCATGCCTTAGAGTCCGTGCTCTCCAACAGAGAAGCCATGGCAATAAGAAGACTGCATACCACAACTAGAGAGTAGCCCCTGCTCGCCACAACCAGAGAAAGCTTGCATGTAGCAACAAAGACCCAGTGCAGCCAAAAATAAAACTTTTAAAATATTTTTTAAATGGGCAGAAGATCTAAATAGACATTTCTCCAAAGACACAACAGATGGTCAAGAGGCACATGAAAAAAGATGCTCAACATCACTAATTATTAGAAAAATGCAAATCAAAAATACAATGAAATATCACTTCAGCCAGAATGGCCATCATCAAAAAATCTACAGACAGTAAATGCTAAAGAGGGTGTGGAAAAAAGGGAATGCTCCTATACTGTGAGTGGAAATGTAAATTGGTACAGCCACTATAGAAAACAGTATGATGTTCCCTTAAACAACTAAAAAGAAAAATACCACATGACCCAGCGATCCCACTCCTGGGCATATATCCAGAGAAAACCATGGTTAGAAAAGATACATGTACCCTAATGTTCATTGCAGCACTATTTACAATAGCCAAGACATGGAAACAGCCTAAATGTCCATCAACAGAGGAATCAGTAAAGAAGATATGGTACATATATACAATAGAATATTACTCAGTCATAAAAAAGAACAAAATAATGCCATTTGCAGCAACATGAATGGACCTAGAGATTGTCACAATGAGTGAAGTAAGTCAGACACAGAAAGACAAATATCACATAATAACACTCATATGTGGAATCTAAAAAAAATGTTGTGTACAAATGAACTCATTTATAAAACAGAAGGAGAGTCACAGATGTAGAAAACAAACTTATGGTTACCAGGAGATGGAGGGGAGGAATAAATTGAGAGAGTGGGATTGACATATACACCCTACATATATAAAATAGATAATTAAAAACCTGCTGTATAGCATAGGGAACTGTATTCAATACTCTGGAATGGCCTATATGGGAAAATAATCTTAAAAAGAATGGATATATGTACATGTACAACTGATTCACTTTGCTGTACACCTGAAACTAACACAACGTGGTTAATCAACTATACTCCAATATAAAATAATTAAAAAATAATTTAAAAAGACGAGAATCTGGTTCATGCTTGTACTTCTGTTGTTGACTAAAATCATGTGCTGGCAATTGAAATATCTCTGTCTAATATGATGGTGGTCACTCAGTCAGAGATATCAGGCATCACACAGCATGTGGACAGAGCTTAGGGACAGGGGTGCTGGGTCCTCCGTTTCTAGACTTGAGCAAGTCACTCAAGCCTCAGGAGGCAAGTTACTAACCTCAGCCTCCAGAGTTGAGAAATGAGCTGGCTGTGCAAAATGACCTCATCTGTGCCACCTCCCTCTCCCTTAGTCCTTATGTCCAATCAATGTCTTTCCACTCACCAACCTACTTTCCAAGTGTCTCCCTGGTTCACCTGCTTCTCTCCATCCTCCATCTAAACCAACCTAACCCCATCTTGTTCAAAGATTACAGCAAGAGCCTCAAAACCAGTCTCCGTAGATATCGCTTTTCTATCCCCTCAAATCCACTCTCCCACAGCCAGAGCTGCAGAACAGTCTTTCAAAATCCTGCTCAACATCCTCATTGGCTTTGTATTTAGATTCGAACACTGTCCTTTGGATTTAGATTCGAAGCCTTGACTCTGCAGCAGCTCGCTCTCTCCCTTCCCTGTGCTCCCTCCAGTCTCCTCTCAGACCTTTCCGCCTTCACTCCCTAAGCCAAGGTCTCTGTGCTACGCAATGGCAGCGGGCATTGTTGTCCTCGTTTCCTAGGGAGCTGAGCAGTGGGCTGGCCCAGCCTTGGCCTCACCACACTGGACTTCAGTGTCCTGCGAGCGCTGCCCCCCCCTCACTCTGCCACAAATGTACTGTGGCCCTGAGGGCAGAAACTTCTAGCACGCTCTAAGACAGTGGACTCAAAACAGAAGTCTAAGCAGAAGGCAGAGGACAGAAACATCTAAACGCATGGATATTAACAGCACCCAACGGATGCGACTGTGCGGGGGGCTCTGGTGGGCGAGGGGCCCCAAGCCAGGGACCCTGAGACCACATCCTCACCTCAGCGAGAGCAGCTAGGAGCTTTCCTGGGGAGGAGTACGTCCTGTCTTTCAGCAGGCAGGCATCGCACTCACGAGCCCTGCCTGCTGAGATGTTAAGAGGAGTGTCTAGTCACACACGGACTTTAGGAAGTCACTCGGACACTGGTGACATGTGCTCACCCTTTCTCTGAAGACACAGGGTGAGGTCTCTGGGGCTGAGTAACTGGAAACTGGGGCTGGGGAGAGATTTGCTTTGGCCGGTTAGGAGGTGGGTCTCTGAAAGAAGCCAAGCCCTCTGCTAACATAATGAGGCACCCGGCTTCCTCCAAATCCTAGTTATTGCTCTGCTAAAAATATTCAGGAATGAGCATGATCAGAGAACCTTTTTTTTTTATCACGCTTTTCAGAATTACGGCATTTGGTTATGGAGCTATTTTAAGAAGCAGCAAAGCACATGTTAATGAAGGAAACTTTCGACAGTAGTAGGCAATATTAGAATGATGATGAATAATGTGGACCTTACAGTCTACTTCATTTAAACTTCATATTTTCATCTGGCTCTGCTGGAGAATTTTGACATGCAGTTCTGACAAGCAGAGCAGAGGGCTGTAAGGTTTGGTTCCCACCCTCCATGTCTCTTGGCTTCATATAAAGTGATTTTAGACTTTCAGAAGGAACCTCAATGAGAGGATAAAACCCGAATGTGGATGCTGACGTCATTTCTGAGCACCTTTCTCCCATGTCCTCTCTACCTGGACCCCAAGCAGATTTCTACTGTGGCTCTCCCTTGGTGAGGAATCAGCAAAAAGATCAATGGATAACAATAGAGGGCCCTTGTGCATATGAAAAGTCACACCTAAGTCTTATGCCTGTGCTCCCAGAGCAAGTAAAATACCACCTGACTATTCAATTTGGAGATGGGAATTGTGGTCAGTTTTCATTCCAATCCCTAAGAAAGGAAATCCCAAAGAATGCTCAAACTACTGCACAATTGCACTCATCTCACACGCTAGTAAAGTAATGCTCAAAATTCTCCAAGCCAGGCTTCAGCAATATGTAAACCGAGAACTTCCAGATGTTCAAGCTGGTTTTAGAAAAGGCAGAGGAACCAGAGATCAAATTGCCAATATCCGCTGGATCATCAAAAAAGCAAGAGAGTTCCAGAAAAACATCTATTTCTGCTTTATTGACTATGCCAAAGCCTTCGACTGTGTGGATCACAATCAACTGTGGAAAATTCTGAAAGAGATGGGAATACCAGACCACCTGATCTGCCTCTTGAGAAACGTGTATGCAGGTCAGGAAGCAACAGTTAGAACTGGACGTGGAACAATAGACTGGTTCCAAATAGGAAAAGGAGTACGTCAAGGCTGTATAGAGTCACCCTGCTTATTTAACTTATATGCAGAGTA